TTTTTTGCAAAAAAGTGTCTTTTTTGTCAAAAAAAGGGGCATTAGGAGGCTTATGGAATGCTGCTGGGGGGGGGGCAAAAATGGGCTATTTTTCGCACATTTCTGCCCTCCCCAGCCCGCAGGAGGTCTCTGAAAGCCTCCTACAAGCTACACATGGCCATTTTGGTGAGGGGGCAGGGTTTCAGGAGGCAAAAAATGCTGTATTCAGTATATAAGTTGCACCCAAATTTTCACCCTCTTTTCTGAGGGAAAAAGGTGCGTCTTATATTCCAAAAAATATGGTAGGTCTTTGTATAATGTGTTGAAGTAGAATAATTTGAGTCTAATTATTGTGCTTCAACCTAGGTTAATTTGTTCAATGATCCATTTGTTCTTTTATTTTGTTTGGCTATCCATGGTATTCTCAAGAATCTTCTCCAACACCCATGTTTCAAAAATGTCAATACTTTTTATCCTGCTTCTTTGAAGTCCAGCTTTTGCATTCATAGAGTTTCACAGGTAAAAGCATTGTCTGCACAATTTTCAGCTTCCTAAGTATAACCATATCCCAGCATCTGAATATATTTTTCTAAAGCCCCCATTGCTATCCTAGCAAATGCTAATTTATGGTATATTTCTTGATGGCTGCTTCATTACATTTGATAGTCAATCCCAAAAGGCAAAACTTATCCACTACTTCAATATATTCATTGTCATTCCTAAGACTGGTTGCTGTATCTATTGTCATTAGTTTGACTTTTTTATTTAATTCTACTTCTATTTTTTTTCCATAATGTGCCTTGATTTTCATTATTTGAGCTTGCAAAATATTTTTGTATATGTATTTATCAGAATAGTGTCATTAGCTTGGGAGAGATTATTGATTTTTCTTCCTCCAGTTTTAAAACTATGCCAACCCTCTTCCCATCAATATATATTCTGCACGAACATTGAATAAATAAGAGAGTATACAACTTTGTCTTATTCCTTTGTCATTCTGGAGCTGGTCTGTTTCACTATTTTTCCTGACTTACATATAGGTTTTGTGGGGGGAGGGTCAATAAAAGATTGAGATTTTCATTTTTCTAAATACATCCAAGACTGATATATTGACACAATTGAAGGCTTTTCTGTAATCAATGAAACACAGACTTCCTTCTATTTGTCACTCTTCGACTTTTTCAAATATCTAACATGCAACAGTAACAAAGTCTAACTAACTATCCGGCATCCAACTAACCTGAGTTGAATAATATTATTCTATAGAATTTTGCTACATTTTTCCATTTTTGTTTAATCTCCTTTGTATCGGTTACTATCTTTGCATTGGTGTTCTTTAGCACACCACTTTGAGGTTGGAACCTCAGAACCTGATGAATACAGAGATGGTTGGAAGACTGTTTTTTTCATGTCTGTCTCTCCATTTTCACTAATTTTACTTAGTAATACTGTTGCACTATTGCTTCTTCTAACAGCTATCTGAAATTCTTAAGTTCCTTCCTGAGATCTTTGTGTTTGTTTGACTTTCTTGACTTGGCACCTATTCCCTTGGCAATTTCTACCATTTGGCCTGGTATTTAGTTTGCTTTCTTTTGCCTCTTGATCTCGGCAGTCTCTTTTCATAGTCATCCTTAACTACATCTTTGATTTTATTCCACAGTCCCTCTGGTTCTGGTTCAGTGAGGTTCAAGACTTCAAAGTGATTCCTGATGTTCTTGAAAATGATGGGTATATACATAAGGTCATATGGCGGAAAATGATTGGTTTTTCATTTCTGCTTTAGTTTAACCTGGGATTTGCACATGAGCAGTTTCACAGTCTGTCCCTGTTCACATATTGCTGTTTTAATTGAATAAAATGTTGCAGGGGAAGAAAAAATGGAAAATGAGAAATTCAGGTGAATATTAACCAGCATGATAGTGGAAAAAAGAGAAATTAAAATGATATTTTTGAAATAAGAATTTGCAGGTAGAGATGATTTCTAACAGCACAATAACTACCAAAATTAGGGTATTGGAAACCAAATAATGACTCCTCCCTTGATCTTGACCACTTGTCATCATAAGTGCCTTCTTTGTTTCCATTAAGATCTATGGTAGATGGCATTATAAGAGTTTGAGGCAATGGCTAGGGTATCAGGCTATAAATTAGGAGAATGTGAGTCCTGTTTTGGCACAAAGCTAGCTTGGGCTAGCTGGGCCAATCACTGTCTTTCAGCCCCAGGAAGTAGGCAATGGCATACCAATTTTGAGAAAACATGCCAAGAAAACAGCAGTGACTTGTCAAGGCAGTCTTCAAGAATCAAGTAAGATTAAATGGAACAAAAAAATTAGATGACTTTGATATTGAGAAGATGCTCTATTTAGTGACGATGTCTCTTTATCGAAGCTTTTTCCAGGGAGACTTTTTTGTTTAGCATCACAAAAACATCTTTTTGTTTCTCCTAAATTTTGAACCTACTTTGTTTTAGTTGATTTCATATTGCTTTGAAATCTGTCTTGCATTTATTTTAATGCTTCATTGGTTTATGGTTTATGGTTTATGGTTTA